TACCTGTACTTTTGCCAGCATATTCTCAATTCTTTTTTTTCGAGGGTTGGCATGGGGGCATTTACCCACCACTTTTTAGATGATAAAAAGTAGTAATTAAGTAGTAAAGTCTGTCAGGAGCAAATGTGGCCCATTGGGCCATGGGCAGCGCCGGCATTTATCTCCGGTTTCCCTAACCACACTACTGCACAAAAAGGAATTGGTTGCTGCCTCGGCAAATAATATGGAACACATACTCTAACTTTTGAAGCGCATTTCTGGTGCTGCACATGGCTACCCGAAAATAAAAACGTCAAACTTCAATTTGGAGATTGACGCGATGTGCACCCACATGGTATGTCGCGATAACCTTTCTCGTGGCGACGGGTTATCGCAGCCGCGTGTTATCGACACTGATCTCTATAAAAAAAGACTCGATAGCGGATAAAGGGCCGCACAATGAATGGATTTGACGCCATATTGGTGAGACCGTGAGACCGGCTGGTGATCTACATAAGACAAGTTGCGGTCTTTATAGCATCATGGTTACTTTTGTAACATCGCGATTCACTTGATTTATGTTTTGTCCACCGCCACTGACCACTGTTTACAATTTTTCTTACGTCGTGATTTGCTTTTTTTTTTAATGCCGCAGTTCCTTTATCGGCGTTTTTGAAAATAATAATCACTGCGGAAATGTGTCCTTTTTAGAACATCATAATACGTGTACGTGACCGAAATGCGCGTCAACTCCTGATACAGCGCACGCTGTATTAAACACAGCAATCTTCGTGAGACCGGGGCGAATTGGTCAATAACTGGTGTATGAATATCCGCTATCCAGTCTTTATATAGGGATGCAACCTTGCAAATAAATTCCCATAGACACTAGTGCTAAATACCCATACATCAAAATTTTTAAAAAATACTCAGAACTCTCACAAGTATTCAAGCTGCACAGAAAAATGATGATCAAGATGTCATCTTTCGTTTTCTTTTCATTTTTTGGTGGGTTGACCATTGACTTTTCGAGATATTCTCACCCAAAGAAGACGACCCCTATTTTCCCCAAAGCGGAAAAGTAGCCATCTTGAAAAACGATCCCTCCACAACATGGCAAAATAGCGCCACTTTCGAGCCCAATAGCATCCAAAATGCTCAGAATTGGAAGCCCCAAGTCCGGGCCAGAGGTTCATTACCATATCTCTTCAATTCCCCAAGTTTACGGCGCTCAGAACTCTCTAATATAGAATATTTTGAGGGTATAACTTTTATTCATGAGCTCGGCGGACGGATTTAGGCCTATTTACCGGTGTGCACCCATAGAGATTCCATGTTTCCAAAATATTTAAGTAATGCAGTAACGTGGATGGCCATAATACGTACGCTTCCGTATCAAGCCGCTAGACAAGATGATTGGTTGCAGCCAGCATTGTATATACGTAGAGTGTAATGTCTTTGATCTCGTGTTCAAAAAGATAACAGTATGAGGCCAGATGCAGAACTGAGTTGCAAATTTGTGAATTGTCAAAGTTGATTGATGATTGGACTGAAAATAACCTGCAGGAACGAATTAATCTTGTCTTACCCAATTAGCTTTTATTGCTTACTAATGATTGCCTAATGAATATTCAATCAATCATAACAAAATAATAAAGACCTTCATAATAATCCCAGACAGTTCCTAAACACATGACCAACACTCTTTGATGAAATAAAACATGTTTGGGGAAAAAAATAATCAGATAATCACATGTGCATACAACATTATGTGAATAGCACATTTGAGCTGGCCCGTGAAAGGGTAAGACACTGGGAGCCAATGTATTTCGTAATGGCAAAACAGTGTACTCCGTTGCTTTAAGAATAATGATTTGTTTCTTAGGCCAAACAAATAAAAAATACTCGGTCTCTGGTCAGCGCGCACGTCAATTTCAATCATGCGCGTCAATCTTTTTTTCTTCAAATTAACACGGAAGCTACAAAAGCGCCCTCTTTTGCCGCACCTCCTCAAATTTTTGTATCAAGGAGCACCAAGGAATGGGGAAATTGCACCAAGGCACATGACAAAGGTCACCAAGGCAAATGATGGAGGACACCAATGTATAATGAGGACACAAAAAAGCAAAATAGTACCCACCTTGTCTGTACAATTCAAGCTTGACAAAAAAAAAGCCACCAAAAAAAAACAAACAAACAAAAAAACCCGCGTGGCCGCATCAATTCCGGAACTTCGGTCTGACCAGAGACTGATTATTATTTTTTTTTTGGCCTTACGTTAAAATTTTATTCCACAGGTTGGCTAGCTGTTGATGATATTCAAAATAACGCTGACGCAAATAATTGTGAGGATTAACACAAAATTACGGACATAGAAAAAGTTTGGGAACACCTTAATTAGCATCAAGCTCAGAATGCTGCGGTAATTTTTAATTCTGCGTAATTTTTCACGTTAAAAGTTGCAATGAAGTCTAATATATTCAACTTGTTTTACATTTGGGACCATGGTTTCTTGACTCCTAATCTCCGTGTGTTTCTGTGTGTGCAAAAAATATTCTGACCGACATTTGGTTTCGCATCATTGGCTCTTCAGATTGGCTCAGCGAGTCGTTCAGCACAGTGTTGCCATTTGTTTACGTTACTTCACCTCCCTCAGTTCATGACCAACAGGTCACGAGCATTTCACAGTGACACACACACACACACACACCCACCTTCACGTAAAACAATTATATATGGGTCATTCTATAAATTTGGGGTCCAAAGTGTGACATTTTTCCCGTCCCTGTTACCTTGGTACTTTATAATTTGCCATTCAAGCATCATTAAAAGTGACTTCAAATGATTGTTTATTTGTTGAGTAGGTAGTTTGCTATTCATAATCACTCTTGAAGGATGACTGCATTAAGCATGTTAAGGAGTGCATCAGAATTATACAATCTTAGATGTCAGATGTAACAGGGACGGGAAAAAAAGTGGACCCCAAATTTATAGAATGACCCATATTGTGTATCAAAGGTTACTTTTTATATCAACATGAACATGCACACGTTGAAACCCGATATGCTGTCCATTGTAAAACCCACACAGGCGAAATATCCCCTTCATTTTAGTTAAATCATCATAAATGTACTTACTGTTAGTCTTTACGCACGGCAACGAGGATCGGAAAGTATACAGACGATTGGTAAATAAGGATTAGCCCAGGATTGTAAGATTGATTCCGAAAATAATCGGGAGATTTATCGAGATACTTGACGAACAGGACGAGTGATGTGACGAATCTCAATCACCATGACTTTTTCTGAATCAGAGACCAAGAGGGCGCTATACAAGTTTCCAAATAGTCATTTTTCCTTATAATTTGTGGCTCAGGATGAGTTTCAGCTGCTGGGCAGCTCAAAATGTCTCACCGGAGTTAACCCTAAAAAGGGCCGGTTTATTTTGACCACTTCTCAGCCGGGGTGGAGGGGGGGCAGGCGGATTTCCCGTACTTGATCTCGGCCATCGAGCGACAAAAAAAATTGAAACTCGGTACACGCATTGAGCAATTCTTCATGAACATACTCAAGAAATTTCATGACTATAGGCCAAAGGGTTTTGGAATTATGGATAATTAATTATTCATATGTACGAATGGTAAGTCTGGTTTGTGTACACGACGTATATGAGAAAAGTCAGTTTTCAAGGCGCGTAGCTGCGCGCCAACCCCTTGTCCGATTTTTATATTTTTTGTGTCAAACGATGCGCAAGGCTCGAGGCCGAAAAGTCGTAACAGCTCCGGTTGCGAAATCTTTCTTAAAGGATATTGCGGAAAAAGTCGAGGGGGAGGGCGGACTCCGCCCCCGGCCCTTTTAGGGTTAATAATAATTGTAGTATATTGTTTGGCATTTCATTTGTTGTTGTTGCACTTGGTTTAAATGAGTCTTAACATTTAACGAGGTAAGTTTTTCACTTTGCATATCATGTCTTTTTGTATTAAATGCTGCGGTAAGAATAATGTTGGCAACTTTTGAAATATTTAGTAAAATGTAGCTCAAATTACACACCATATCTCCCCAAACGTTCCGAATGTGTTTGTCATTTTAATTATGCACCGAACTATCTGTTTGAATTTGTGTTTGTTTGTTTGTTGTTTAAAACTTATACATACACGATTTGTTTGGTGTCTTCTAACTATATGCAAAAATCACTGGTTTCCTGCATTATGAATGTGATCTTCACGTTGTTCTATACCCGTGCTGTTTTTAAAATGTTGGATATGTTTCATAAAGCTTTCTCAATTTGTGATAATATTAAAACCGAAAAATATGCATATCCATATCTAGTTTAGACATTTTAAACTCTCTAAAAGTATACAGTTTATTCGAATCTTTTTGTTTCAAACATCGTTTAGTTAAAAGTAATAATAACGAGAAAAATGTAAATTCATAGCGCGAAGAATAGGTTTGCGTTGTATTCCCTTTTATGCAATTATATTTTACTGAGCCAAAGAAAATGTGTTTTTTCATTCTGATGATGGTAAGCGCTTTATAGTACCTTTCGTGTGAAGAAAACTGAACTTAAAATTAAAAACAAATTCATGCATTTTACATTCTGAACATCTATGTTCATTTGCGGTAAGTTCCAGACCATTAATGTTTTATGGAGACTATTCCGTACGTTGCGTTTACGGTTCCCTTGTCAAAGAAAATTGGAATATGATACATAAAATTAAAGCAACAATATTTTGGCTAATGAAAAAGTGGTGTGATTTGTTTATGAACCCAATGACTGTGTTGTGTAGTTTTATTGTGAATTTCAATTTTCATGTGCATTTTAATTGAATTTTGAGAAAATGAATCATTCATCTCTTTAATAAATCAAGCAGAATCTGTGGAAGAGGTGTTATAAAACAAATATTGACTGTTTTTTCTCGTGGTGTCAAACCGGGCCTCCCTTGGTGATCCATGAAGCATTCTATTTTCCCTCGGCTTCGCCTCGGGACAAAGAGAATGCTTCATGGATCACATGGGGCTAGTTTTACTTCACCACTCGAAGCAGTCAATATTTTATACTATATTACGGTGTATGTGGTGCATATTTTGAATAAATTAGTCGCAATACCCACACGAACCAGTACGCGCTGCCGTTATGTCCCTTCACTGGGGCTCGGGTCAAAAAGCGCCGTTCAAGCACGGAGGTCATACAAGCAAAGACAATCCACGAAATGCTGATTACTCGACCATTCCGAGTGGCTTATTTATAATAACCGCATCCCAGTCCAAACTGAACCAGATCTCGTCCCCATTCCGTTCCGAGCAATCACTGCTGGCCAGATGCTCCATCACCCAGGTCTGTAGATCCTCAGACGCTGCCTCCCTGAAGCACATGGTAAAGGTCAGGAAATCCAGCAGCAAGTTGCCTTCCTCCGAAGCTCGGTCGAAGCACGTGGTGATGTTCATACGCCTTGGTTGGCGGTACTGCGTGTACGCGATGCCCAGGCGGTCTAGACAGCTGCGTACGTCGCCCGATGTAACGTCGTGGTAATTCGCATGAAAACGCTGGAAGCCGTTCAAAAAACGTGTAAACCCGCTGTCATCTACGTTCAAATCAAAGTAAAGATTCACAAAATATGCATTAAGATGCAATTAGGACGTTGACCGCTCGATTGTCTGAAGGTGCGATAGTCCGAAGGTTCGTTAGTCAAAAGATTCGTTAGTCCGAAGGCTCGTTAATCCGAAGGCTTGTTAGTGCGAAGGTTGAGGGGGCCGCCCAACAGTCCGAAGGTCCGATAGTCCAAAGGTTCTTTAGTCCGAAGGTTCGATAGTCCGAATGCAAAAAAAAAAAAAACCACAAGAGGGGGTTCGTTAGTCCGAAAATGAGTAAGGTTAGTTAATCCGAACATTTAATGCAATAGTCCGAAGGTTCGATAGTCCGAAGTGTCATACTGACGAACCGTATTGCCAATTCGGACAATCGAAACTTATTCTCAATACGAACTATCGAACATTATTGTCAATTCGGTCTATCGAACCCTATCGTATAATCATTCGGACTATCAAACCTTGTCATCTCAGTATTCGGACTTTCGGACCTTATATTGTCGATTCGGACTATTGAACCCCATCGTCTATGCGGACTATCGAACCTTTGGATTAATTAACCTTATTCTGTTTTCGGACTAATGGGCCCTTCGGACTAACGAACCTTCGGACTATAAGACCCTTCAGACTAAAGAACCTTCGGACTATCGAACCTTCGGACTAACGGGCTGTAACCAAGGTTGAATAGTCCGAAGGTTCGATAGTCTGTAGGACTCAAATAGACGATAACGTTCGATAGTCCGAATTGACATAAGGTTCAACTGTCCAAATTGGCATCATTGAACATTATTCTAAATTCGGATTACCGAACCTTTTGGACAAATGAACCTTCGGATTATCGAACCTTCGGACTTTTTGCATCAAATGCTCGGATAAACGAACCTTTATTTTATTTTCGGACTACTGAACCCCCGGTTACGGGATCTTTGTGTGTTCGGACTATCGAACCTTCTGATCAATAAACCTTCGGACTATGGAACCTTCGAACTATCGAACCCCATTAGGACAATGGCGTAACTGTGGTCTCGTTGCTGCTGTATAGTGGTGCTGGTTGTCGTTGTTGTAGTTGTTGTGGTTGAGGTAATGAATGTACGTGTATTGAATGTGCATGTACATGTTAGGCTAATCTTTGTTTCTTGAACATTCAATTTGTTATGGTAAAGGTTGTGTTTATACCGTTTTTTTTTATGAAAAGAGTAATATTCAGCCCGCACTTGTTTTAGACCTACCTGTTCTCATAATTACCAGCATAACTCCACCGCTTTCCAAACGGCTATACAAATACGTCAACCAGCTGTCCAGAGCATCTTGCGCCTGGTATATGGAGTCAATTGCACTGATGAAATGAAACTTGGTCAAATCTCCCGCCTTTTTGTACTGCTCGATCGTCTGCTGCCGCCAGTCACAAGTAACACCGTGTAGTTGGTGAGCCTTATATTCAGCCAGTGCCTTGTATCGGCCTAGCAGCTCATCAGAAGGATCAACTACACGATTATCGATGCATGGAAACTGTCGCAAAAGCCGTTTTAAAATGGCGCAATCGATCTCACCTGCATGGGTCAGATAAAGGACGGAAACATGACATGAAACATAAGTAACTATACTAGGTTTTGTTGCTGTATTGTATACTCGGCTTCACAGAAAGCAATCAGTTTTTGTTGTTGTGCCACCTGTGCACAGTCGGAATACCTATCAGTTTCCTCAGGTAATTCTAGCCAGAATAAACACCCCCCTCCCCGGCGGCGAGTTCCCCCATAATGCTTTTGCACTGTTGCATGCACAAGTAAGTCCGACTCAGCATTAATGCAATCAAGTAACCGTCCCTGAGGCCTGTTAAAAGTGCACTGTAAAAATAAAGTTACACTAAAATCGAGAACCATTGTTTCAGCCTTCAATCGTGGGCGAGATGATCAGCCTCAAAATGTACGACATGAAGATTCAACAGCGAAATACCAAGTGTCATACAGTAATAAAAAAAAAGCATTACACATGCCGATTTAACTCCTAATACACCCTCCCAGATCATGCGGGTTTCAAACTATTTAGTTATGAGTAGGAAACATAAGTCATCATTCGTTGGCTTTTTCCGAAGGACTGAGGCTTGAACGTCAAATAAAACCCCTGAAGCCGATCTAGGTAAAAAAAAATACACGTATACTGTAAAATCCAGTGTTTAACTTTTGAACATGTTTACAATACATTTGTTTTATGCAACAGTTAAGATATAATATATGAACACGTTAAAGGGACATTTATACAGCAAAAGGCCACATTTTGAACCATATTCATAATTGTTATGCAGATATCCAGTACCAAAAACAAACCTCAAACAACCACTAATATTGTCAGCGCCTCATGAACGGCGCTGTTTAGAAAGTTAAGAAGCGTTTATAGATTGAATTATGCTTCTAAACGGTTATAAAGGCGTTAATGATGTGTTTGCAAGGTAAACATAACGTTTTACAACTTATATACCTACCGGATCCGCTACCCACTCCAAGGATCCGTATTCCTTCTCGTCCGTCCAGTGTGGCCTGGAGTTTACCAACCACCGCCTCGCTGAAGCGTTCACTAGCCACCCACTCCGGAAACACGTTGAATTTCCCAGAGGCCGAACAGAATGTATCGTACGCCTTGAGGTAGTGGTCTGGGTTCTTGAACAGACTCGGCAGTGATTGAGATGCCATCTTTCTTGTTCACAATGCTATACCAAGGGAAAAGGCGTTCTTAAGCATTCATGGATCCTGCACGAGGAAGCATATCAACTGGACTAGTCAAGGTGTTTTTTTTTTAGGCCGAATTGATTGTTGCCGACCCGCATTACCTGTCCGGATGACCTATCTGCTCCACAAATGCTATTGGAGGCTGGCGAAAGTAACCCTTGGGCAAGTCGTGTCTTTGGAATTAGCGAGGCGGTGGGTTTGCCATTTAGTCCCTTTGTTTGACGCTCTAGTCAGTTGAGCGCTGGGCAGTGGACAGAGAAGTAGGTAATACTTGCACTCTGCGATTGTGTGTTATGCATACGGCACAGATATCACAAAGCCGTAAAAGCTGTACGTAGGTTACGTTGCCCATGTATCTGAAGTGTCGCAACTTTACAAACCTAATAGACCCTTCGCTTTGACGTCTCATTGCCTAATTCTTGGTAACGCGTACGGTCAGCCATCTTGGAAAACATACAGTGTAAACGCGTAAGCAAGTAAGTGTACGGTGGCTATGCGTGCTGCACGATCACAATGCTACAAAAACCAAGATAAGAATTCCTAAGGCCGTTAAGACCAGATTCTCCAATTGATAACCGGCTTTGGCCCCTACACAATACAATGAATAAAAAGCCGCCGTTTTTACCTCGATTTGGTATCCTGGTATCGTTCATTTACTTTTGTGCGCACCTACCCTGGAACTATGCCGGCACAACGAAGCGGAGAGCCCCATAGATGGAATGTCAATATTTGCTGTATACTACTACCACACGAATTCAAGACTGAAACAACGAATAAGCATAATATGCTCAAAAGCCGCTGTACATTTTGCCCCCAAACTCCGGCTGGTACTTTTTAACTTACTCAAATTCGTTGTGCTGCACAAGGATCTTGGCCGACTCGGTCCCAGTTTTGTAAAAACTAAACATGAAAAACAACAGTGGACTTTCGATTCGACGTGATCGCATGCAATGGCTTGTACGATCGCGAACGTATGCACGCGTGTTTGTAATCCAAGATTGCAGAAAAACCCAAAATCGGTGACGTCATCGGTGAGAACCTGTAATTCTGATGCGGTTGTGTAATGCTTTGCGCCTGTGTAATACTGATACGGGTGTGTGGCACCGATACGGTTGTACAATGTTTATGCTTTTGTACAATGCTGACGCTGTTGTACATTGCTGATGCATTGCTTTTGCACATTGCTGCTGCTGTTGTTCGTTGCTGATGCTTGTGCGCATTGGTTACAGTGTGGTGCATTGTTGGCATTGTTGTGCAGTAGGTTCTTTCCCAATTAATTAAGAACCCTGGTAATATAACAGCCCCAATGAAATCCAAATTACTGTACGTTACTGTGAAATATAATTGTATTGCTGACCCTACTGACAAAATAGAACTATCTCTTGGATCTCTGCCATGCAGTTCTGCGGTTTTGTTCATGGGCCATGAATGCATGGACCTAATTGTTTATTTTGAGTTGGGGAAAGGGGAAGGGGTTGTTGGTAGTCTAGGGGCTAGACGTTGTATGTTTGATACTCGATAACCCGCCGCCAGAAGAGGGCGTTATCACGACCAACCATATCTCCCACGCACCCGTGAGCAACAAAGTCTAGGCCTATTTCTTAAATTTCCCCCGAAAAATGAGGGAAATTAGTTTGCACTAGCTACTTCTGCAGGCAATTACGGTCCATTCTTAGTCTCACTCATACTTCACACCACAAAAGGGCTGACCAGTGAAGTTGCACAAAAGTCTTGCTGCATCTTGTCTGCTACTGGAAGTGTAAGAGTTGGGCTCCGAATTACTATGAAATGTTTTGAATGCGCGCCCATATTAGGTCAAACAGGTGCGCGCGCATGGCATAACCCATACAAATCGGCCTAGACGTTGTTTCTCAAGGGTTCATGGGCGATATGGTTGGTCGTGATAACACCCTCTTGTGGCGGTGGGTTGTCCCGGCCGTGGGTTATCGAGTACCACACAAACAACGTCTAGCATCTGGACTTGGTGGTTGGTTGTGGCACGTTTCTTACACACAATGATAGTACAAAATGCACTGAGCGGACTTGCCTTAATTGGTTAGACGCGTGATAACGGGCATTAATGCCCGTTGGTTTGTATACGCGAATTTTCCAGGTGTGCCATTGTGTCGTGTTTTTTTTTGCATGACATCTAAAACGGAAATATTCATAAAACTGTAAGCAAAACTACTCCTTATGTAAGATATGATTGTTCCTAGATTGTAAAAAAAAAAATACTTCAGGATATAACAGGTGGTATTGTGCAGTTTTTGTCGTCATAGATAAAGTATTTACCCGGGAGGTCAACGTCAAATTTCGAGGATAACACCGTTTACCCAAATTTCGTTTTAAATTATGCTTTTATTTAAACAGTTTTAGAGAGATGTGATCCCGAACCGATGAAACAAAAGCACACTATAAGCATTTTGAGCTGGCCCGTGAAAGGGTAATGAGACATTGGGAGCCAATTATAATTCGTAATGTCAAAACAGTGTACTCTTTTACATTAAGAATAATGATATTTTTCTATCCTTAAGTTGAAGTTTTTTCACAGGTTGGCTAGCTGTTGGCAATATTCCAAATAACTCTGACGCATGATAATTGTGAGGATAAACACAAAATTACGGACATTTAAAAAGTTTCGGAACACTTCATTAACGTCAAACCCATATAGCCTATAATGCTGCGGTAATTTTCAATTCTACATATTTTTTTTAAGTTAAAAGTTGTTATGAATGCTTGTATATACATATATTTTTTTATATTTGGGACCATGTTTTCTTGACTCCCAATCTCCGTGTGTTTCTGTGTGTGCAAATAATATTCTAACCGACATTTGGTTTCGCATCATTGGCTCTTCATACTGGCTCAGCGAGTCGTTGTTCAGCACAGCTAGTGTAGCCATTTGTTGACGTTACTTCACCTCCTATTGTAGGTCTCAGTTCGTGGCCAACGGTTACGGTTCACGAGCTTGATAGTGACACACACACGTACTTTATCAAAGGGTACTTTGATAATGTACGTTACGCTGTCCACTGTAAAACCCACACTGGCGAAATATCCCCTTCATTTAAGTTAAATCATCATAAAATGTACTTACTGTTAGTCTTTACGCACGGCCACGAGGATCGGAAAGTATACAGACGATTGGTAAATAAGGATTAGCCTGGGATTGTAAGATTGATTCCGAAAATAATCGGGAGATTTATCGAGATACTTGACGAACAGGACGAATGACACGAACTTCAATCACGATGGCATTTGCCTGAATCAGAGACCAAGAGGGCGCTATACAGGTTTCCAAATAGTATTTTTTTCTTCTACTGATATTTGGCTCAAGATGAGTTTTAGCTGCTGGATAGCAGCTCAACAAGTCATCGTGTATCTCCGGAGTTAATAATGTTTGTTGTATTTTGTTTGGCATTTGATTTGTGGCTGTTGTACTTGGTTAGAATGAGCTTAAAGATTTGAGGTAAGCTTTTCAATTTATATACAAACGATCTTTTTGTATTACATGCTGCGGTAAGAATATTGTTAGCAAATTTAGAAATATTTTGTAAAACGTAGCTCGAATTACACACCTATGGGAAAAAGAAGAACATTAAGTATTAAATACATGACCTTTACATTAGAAAATAAATCAATACTCACAGTAAGAGACTCTTTTCTTCTCTGGAAAACATGGAATGTGGTCTCAATCCATGTGTCCCTCACAAGCAAAAATATATACAGGAGAGCCAATATCTCTCAAAATGCCACAAATTTAAAAGACAATCGAAGCTTAAATTGCACCATCCAAGCAGAAATCGAATCGCTGCGGGGCAATATATTGTTAGTCTGACCGCCGGCACTTATTGAGCTGTCAAGCTCCCTGCCGCACCTTAAAAACAAAAGCCTAGCAACGCCACAATGCTCCCAGAAGTCCCCAGGACCAAGACAACCTATTCAAAGTTTCCCGCGACGACATTACCTTTAACCTTTCTTCGTGACCAACACCACTTAACCTTGGACTAACAATTAACAGACGTGACTATGACCAACGACTCCCACAGACCTAGACATGTAAAAGTCATCTAACCACTGAAAACGTCACATCAAAATTACTCCCTAAAATCAAGGACTTTGTGACAGACTGACTGACCGACTGACCGACTGACCGATCAAATGACCGACCGACTGACTGACTGAGTGGGTGACTGATTGAGCGACTGAGTGACTAAGTGAGTGACTTACTGACTGACTGATTGACTGATTGACTGACTAACTGTCTGACTCCCCCCCCCAGAAATCTCCCTCCCCGACTGACTGACTGACTGACTGACTCATTCCCCTAATCGCTCATCGACTGTCTCTTGTGCATGACACATTGAAACGTAATGAAACTGTAACATCAGTAAATGGGTTGAGGTTTGTTTTGCTCAAACATTTCAGCTTTATAAGCTGAGACGAGTCTTAAACTATATATTCTACGCTACTTTTGGAATTCTAGCATGCTTTTGCCAAGCACATTTTCTGTAATCAACTAATTTCCGTACCCAGTAATTCCTGAATCTTGCCGACATAACCATGATTATTGCTCGTACAAATCTTGAAGGTTTAATTGCGGTACGTTCCTTTATTCTTTAGTCGTTTCTCTGATATTTTAATTCAAGTTTCCAAATGGTGACTTTTTTTTTCTTTAGGTAGCGCCACCTATTTGGGTTCATCCTACTACGGCGATCACAAGTTAAACGTAGACTTCTTCCAGTACTTCGAATCGATGAGTCCGTCCACCTACGCTAACGTAACCATGACTGTATCGCAGGGCGACTGTATTCCATTCTCTGTTGTCACTGAGGGAATGTCTGATGCTGCTGGGTATAACTAATGAACGAATGCGTGATTTCAACGTCAGAGGGCGCAATAGCTAATTACCACCTAGAACGGAGATGGCCGGTGTTATATAACGTTTTGACTCCATGTGAGATTGCTGGTCTCTTATTATGG